TAGTCCTAACCCGCTGCTGAGGGACACTTTATGGGAAAACCTGGAAGAGGTGGCCCAGAATATGAATCAACCTTGGCTAGCTGCAGGGGATTTTAATGATTATGCTGTGCAGAGTGAGAAACGTAGCTTCTCTACCAATAGAAATGTTATTCGAACTCAGAAGTTTGCGGCTAGGATGAACAGATGCAAGCTTATGGATTTGGGTTGTTCTGGACCTAATCTTACTTGGTCGAATGGTAAGCAAGGCTTAGCTAACACCTTGGAGCGGCTAGATCGAGCAGTGTGCAATTCTGAGTGGCGACTTGCCTTTTCGGAGGGAGTAGTCAGAAGTCTTCCTCGTACTTATTCGGATCATTCGCCATTGATTGTGTATACTCAAGGTATGTCTACTCTTAATCCGCTGGCTAGACCTTTTAGAATGGAGGCCGCGTGGTTTACTGAATCTAGTTTCACTAATATGGTCAAAAAATCTTGGTCTGATAGTCTTAATTCTTTACCTGAAGCTTTACGAACTGTTACCCAAAATGCCATCTCTTGGAATAAAAATATTTTTGGCAACATTTTTCGGAAAAAACGTTGGCTTTTGGGGCGTATTGAAGGGATCCAGAAATTCCAGTCTTGGGTGTATACTCATAATCTGTTTCTTTTGAAAAGGGAGCTTGTGAAAGAGTATAATAAAATTCTCTTTCAAGAGGAACTTTTATGGTTTCAAAAGTCCAGGGCTAACTAGATAACTCAAGAGGAAAGGAACACTCATTTTTTTCATGTCTCTACTATTGCTAGAAGACGGAGAACGGGAGTTTCTTCTCTTAAGGATGGTGATGGTGGTTGGATCTCGGATCCTGGGATGATTAAGAGTCATGTTCTTAGCTATTTTTGTAATTTGTTCAAGCGGGATGGTGGGCAACCTTATTCTTTCACTAGTATTCCTCATCCTCGTCTTTCTTGTGAAGATAATTGTTCCTTTTCTCGTCCCATCTCCAACCAGGAAGTGTGGGAGGCGATTAAAAGTATTAAGGCCTTTAAGGGCCCTGGGAGGGATGGCATTCCCTCTCTTTTTTATCACTCTCATTGGGAGATTGTTGGTCCTTCTGTTTGTGCTTTTATTCAGAAGTGTTTTGTTACTAAATCTATCCCTCAGAGTTTTAAAGATACTTTGATTACTCTTATCCCCAAAATTGATAATCCGGAATCTTTAAATCATTTTCGGCCTATTAGTCTGTGTTCTGTTTTATATAAAACCCTTACTAAAATTTTGGTGAGTCGTCTTAGACCCATGTTGATTAATGTGGTGGGGCCCTTTTAGAGTAGTTTTATTCCTGGTCGTTCAACTTGTGATAATATCATTATTGCGCAAGAGCTTGTTCATACTCTTAGGAACAGAAGAGGGCGTAATGGGGACATGATTCTGAAAATTGATCTCGAGAAGGCCTATGACAATGTGCCATGGGAATTTCTCCACCATACTCTTTTGGATTAT